ATTTAGTAAGTACCTTTGTCTTACTCTAATCAGAAGAATCCAGCCGAAATGGGAAGAAGAGGACTACTGGACATGGGCCTCTTCCATAATAAAATTTGCATAATCAACATATTGTAGACAAATCGTAGTAGGTACCAGACGTCTCGGCATTTTTATTTTCCTTTTATAAATATGATGTGGTTCTATCGCCATTTAATTCAAAGGATATCTAGGAGTCTCCTCTTACAACCATGGGATGAGGTAGGTTAATTGATGGATCCTCTTATGCTACCATAACACAGCTTTTAGATAGATAGATCAGATCCTAGCTTGGTTGGTCTGGAACGTTTAGGTCCATGTTTATGAGAGACTTTTAACATAACGTGACGAACATGTTACTTGTCTAGTATGTCGTGAAGACTAATGCGATATTGGGTTTGCGATTGTTCTGAAATTGTTTGTTTTGAAATATTCTTTCAAAATTATTTATCTAAACCCATATATTCTGGCCAAACGTGGTCCAAGTAGCTCGCTTCTCTTCGGATTCTGTCTACACCCTCGAGGATTACTGGCGTGACGCTATGTGCATTTGTATCCCTTACTTAACTACCGTTGAAAATTAAAATAACGCATTTTTTTCTTAAATGCCATCGTGAAACCAATGCTATATATTTCAACGCGATCAAAATATTATCCAAGTCTGCAATTGTTGGACGCTTGGATAAGATTATGATCGCTTCCGTTCTGGAAGTTTCGACTGCAACGAGCCACATAGATGACCGAAAACTAAGATCGTTTATTTTTCAAGAATGCGTTAAAAAAATTTAATTGAAGCGGATGTCATATTACGTAAGACACAACCAATAAAAAGTACTCTGTGGACACAACAACAGTTGTCTCAAGCGTAGGCTCGATCAATATCCCAAACGTAAATTAAGCCAAGTGAAGCTGCATATGATGTACGCCGTGCCAGTAATCGTCTTCCACGGCATGAAAAATTTCTCTGCAGGACATGGGCCTCTCCAGTTGTAAAAGGATTTGCCTTGATTTTCACATTTGCCGGATTGATGATCGCTGTTCAAAATGTGTCCGACTTTGTATTATAAGGTAGAGCCACGCCACAGATATATTATTGGCTCGCAGAATACAAACAAGCTTCAACAAGCAAAATAATGCTGTTTCGTATGGTGAATGTAGAGAACCGGAAACTGCTTTTACTAGGAACGAGGTATTCCATCTTAGTCCTCACGGGTGATAACGCATTTGCATTTGATTCTTTATCGAGGATAGATGTAGATGTTTATAGGCTGCAGCATCCATTTACCATCATGTGGAATGTGCGCTCGCTGGTCACAAATTCTATTCAATATCTTTTTTTAAAGATATTGAGGCTTCCACGTGATTCATCTGAGTATTTTACAACTGGTTTAACGAGATACTACCTGTACTGTTTTGAAAACTATACGGTCTTGCTCGCATTTTGCTTTTTTATAGGATAAGTGTGACAAGCGAGCAAACAGCCCACCTGATGGTAAGTGGTTGCTGTGGCCCATAGACATACATCTATGTACATCTATCCTCGTTTGCGAATAAAATGCAGATGCGTTGTCAGCCGTGAGGATTAAGATGGAATGCCCCTTTTCCAGTAAAAAGGGTCTCCGGTTCTCTGCACTCACCATACACAACACAGCAGTGTTAAGCTGGTATTTTACGCTGGTATTTGTGAGAGCGTGGTCCTTCCCCCTTCCCCGGTCGAGCCGACCCATTCGTGCTACTATATATCATAATAATTGGTAATCCACTGTCAGTTAACATAGCAATTTATCAACTTAATATTTAAGTAATATGAAACACAGTTCTCGTGGCGATGTTGTTAATTTATCTCTTATACGGCTTATTTGATATTTTTAAGAGTCGGCTCTAATGTAAAGTTCTGGAAAGCGACTTATCAATATTTTATCGCTGATATCAATCTAAGATCACTTTTGTTACGTTATAAATGTAATAAGGAAGCCCTTGAACTTACAAAATACTGCACGTTATTTGCAAGTCCTGTGACATGTTTGTTCTGGATAAATAAGAATAAACTGCAAATTTTGGCAAGGGCCTCGACTGGACATTGCTGTCTAAAAGCACATAGCCATTTTGGGATTAGGCACATCAATAAATAATGTGTTCCTTAGTTTAAGAAACAACTTAACACATTCAAACTAAATGCGGACTCTTTATGCGCGAACGTAGCACTAATTAACAAACGAAGCGAAAGTGTACTATACAGGGTTATTTTGCAATAACCGGCCAAATTTGCAGAGAAGATTCAGAATAAGCAATATATGCAAACGGTAAAGAAAAAATAATTTAAAAAATCTCGAACATTCTGTGCATTATTTTAACTGATTTCACTGCGCAAGCACACATTCGTAACGGTCGATCGGTAGGCAAAAACGTTGTTGCCCATAAATCACATTCTAATTGGGATAATTTCAAATAAATGTAGAAGCCTTATTTATTCGTATTTTCAAAAACTGCTTAAAAGTTTAAAATTTAACAACTCTGAAAAATAACCCTGTATATGCAACTCCAGCAATTTATTGAAGATGTAGAGCTTAGCTGTGAACTTTAGGCAAAGTAGCGATCAAAATAAAGAAACAAAAGAATTGCAAACTAATATACAAAGTGACTTTGAGAATATAACAAAGTGGGCCCACGATAATGGCATAATCCTTAACCCTTTCGCCGTCCCATAGCGGTAATGTCGACACAGACCGATTCATCGACCACGTCCAAATGGCTGCAGAATCCGTGCTACAACAGGTCCCATCCGCAGAGATCGTGATACTCGGTGATTTTAACGCCCACCACGCTGAATGGCTTGGTTCCCGTTTAACCGATCATGCGGGTAGATCTATCTATGACTTTGCCTTGGCATATGGTCTACCACAACTAGTTACTTCGCCTACGCGGATCCCAGATGTGGAGAATCATGTACCTTCCCTGTTGGACCTTCTGCTGACCTCTCATCTCTCTCTCTCTCTCTGGGCTTTTCGGACCATTGTCTGATCCGGAGTACGGTGCCACTCACGTACCCATCGCATTTGCAAGCTGCAGCTTGCCGCCGTGTTTGGCACTATAGGTCAGCCGATTGGGACGTGATGCGGTCTTTTTTTGCATCTTAACCTTGGGGCCAGGTTTGCTTCTTGCCGAAAGATCCCAGCGTTGTTGCCGATTCTGTTGCTGATGTGGTACTTCAGGGTATGGACCTTTTTATTCTATCCTCTGTGATGCCCATCGGAGGCAGATCCCAGCCATGGTTCGGTCGCTCCTGTAAAATAGCATCAAGCTATAAGCAGGAGTACTACGGGGCCTGGACTGACGCATCAACGTCTTGGGATGTAAACACCAGCGCTCTTAAAAAGAAGTATAATTCCGCCTCCAGATCCTTCAAAAGCGTCTTTGCCAAGGCAAGGTCTAAGCACATCGGCAGAATTGGCGAGAAGCTAGTTCGCATTCCTTCGGGAACCCGTGCATTCTGGTCTCTCGCCAAGGCTGTCCAAGGGAACTTCTGTCAGCCATCTCTTCCATCTCTGCACAGAGAGGACAACTCATTGGACCATGCCGCAAAGGAGAAAGCCGATCTGTTAAGCTCTCCAATATTACTCGGGAAAACGTCGCCGAGTACCGGGACAAACTTGTGTCTGCAGTCGAGTCTTTGCTGAACAAAGTCTAGGATTGGGAGCGACTAAATCTAGTCCAGTTCAATCCCCAGAAGACACAAGTTTGAGAGTTTACCGCTAAAAAGAACCCCTTTGTCGTATCTCCTCAGTTTCAAGGGGCTCTCCTTGCTGCCTCAGCTAGCATCGGAATCCTCGGCGTCGACATATAGAATAGTGTGCAGTTTCGTGGCCACTTGGAAGGGAAGGCCAAATTGGCGTCTAAAAAGCTTGAGGTGCTCAACAGATCGAGACAGTTTCATGCCGGCACATCGCTTGCAACTTTACAAAGCGCAAGTTCGGCCTCACATGGAATACTGTTTTCTCTGACTGTACTCTCTGTACTGAATACTCATCTCTGGGCCGGGGCACCCCAGTGCCAGCTCCTTCCACTTGACCGCATCCAGCGCAGAGCGATTCGAATCGTCGACGACCGAGTTCTTTCTGATCGGTTCGATACACTTTCACTGCGTATGGATGTTGCATCCCTTTGCATCTTCTATCGAATTTACCACGGGGAGTGCTCTGAGGAATTGTTCGGATTAATTCCAGCCGCCAAATTTCAAGAATGCACATCGCGTCAAAATTCACGATAACATCCTCACTATCTGGATGCTTGGCGGGTCCACGACTATGCGTTTTACTAAGAGTTTTCTTTCTCGTAAAATTTCTCTGTGGAATTGTTTACCACCGGCGATTTTTCCGGACCAATACCACTTAGGGCACTTCAAGAAAAGAGTTTACACCCTTCTTAAAGGCCGGCAACGCATCTGCAATTCGCCTGGTGTTGCGGTTGTTCATGGGCGGCGGTAGTCACTTACCATCAGGTGAGCCGCATGATCGTATGCCCCCTCTTCTATAAAAAAAAAATGTTCGAGCACATATCGATTCCGATTGACCAGGTGTCGACAGTTCCAGAAACTTCCTCCATGGAAATTTCCAGAATGTTCCCGACACTCCCAGCTCCGCCACTCGACACTAGAGGGCACCAGTGGCAACCAGTGTCGCCATGCACAATGCATCAATTGTGACGCGTAACAATATTTAACTTGTATAGTATTAGATTGCTTGCTTATGAAGCAATGTGCTAGAAAATAGTATAGCGTAGTCTGAACTAAGCTTTATGTGCATCTAAATATAGGAGAACACAATACTGTACTGACATTTCCTTCGAAAAAAATTATATTCGTTTTAAAATTATTTTTCAAAATTACAAAACCACAAAAACATTGAAGCAATTTTTTAAAATTATATTAGTTTCAAAATACTTATACCTATTTACATAATATGTTATATACAAAAAGTGTGACTTCAAACTTTCATCTTCTTCTTTTTAGGTTTGATAGGTAAAGGCCCGCCGATTTTGAATACAGTGCTGGAAAGAAAACAGTGAGTTTTCAAATAAATGGCGCAACTTCATTTAGACATAGAGGATATGCAAACATCATACTCGAAGTATAAGTAGTTCACTGCTGGGTAGGCCCACCACAGTAGCGGATGTTGTGTTCTAGAAACACTTACATCTATTCTTGCTTAAGAATGAAAATGCCGGTGAGTTGTCAACCACCGGATAACTAAGATGGAATGCCAATTCACTCGTCTCTCACTATCACTAAAAAGGGTTTCAAATTTTTTTTTAAATAATTAAATTAAATTTTTTAAAATATTAAAAAAAAAACTTATAGTGCATCTGATGGTAAGTTAGCTACTGCATTCCACGGACAGCTGCAGCCAACTCCAAACGAAGAATGCTAGAGATGCGTTGTCACGTCTAAAGACTTAGAAGCAACGCCTCGCAGGAATTATATTAAATGGAATATACTAACTTCCTATACTCTTCAAGAGTGGAACACAGCTGTGCAAGCACTTCTGTTTGGCGGTAGAAATACTTAGTCGGGTCATAAGTTCTGTCAAAACCTTATTATTTAAAACTTTTGAGTACTGGCTAGATGAACTTCATCAATTTTAAAAATATAACGTTTGCGTTTGCCGAAAATAAAAAAAAGACATTAATTTTTAAATATGGAGAAAGAAGACAGAGTAGCGGTTATTGCGTTGCACCGCAGTGGTTACGCGTCAAAAGAGATTTTCAATATTCTACAAAAATTTAAAATAACGCTACGATTTGTTTATTGCACTGTCAAACGATTCACTGAAGATTCAAACTTCGAAGATCGTAAGAGGACCGGCCCACCTCGTACAGTTAGGACACCCGCGATCATCAAAGCAGTGAAGGCGTGAATCCAACGAAATCCTGTTCGTAAATAAAAAATCTTAGCTCTTCAGATGGGCCTAAGCAGAACCACGGTCAAAAGAGTGACCAATGAAGACCTCGAAGATCGTAAGAACACCGGATATTTTTTGAACGAGCGTTTGAAAAAAATTAGGCTGGATAGATCCCGCGCTTTGTTATGGCGGTACGTGGGAAAAAATACCGCGAAATTTTGTTTTCGTATGATAAAACTTTTTAGCATCGAAGAAAATTATAATAAACAAAATGATAAGCTGTAGTATGCCCACAGCAGTGAAGAAGCTAGCACGCGTATTCCGAGGGTTCAACGAGCACATTATCCTTCGTCACTCATGGTTTGGCTTGGAGTCTCATATTCAGATTTAACTGAGGTGTTTTTCTGTAAAAAAGGTGTAAAAACCAGTGCCGAGGTGTACCAAAATACCGTTATAACAAACATAGTGGAACCTCATTCCTAAAAAAATGTTCAAAAACAGACATCGGATATTCCAACAGGACTCTGCACCAGCTCATAGGGCACATAGCACGCAAAACTGGTTGACCGACCGTGGAATTGACTTTAACGCACATGAAGACTGGCCCTCTTCTAGTCCAGATTTAAGCCCACTGGATTATAAGATATGGCAACATTTGGAGGAGAAAGTCTGCGCTACACGTCATGAGAATTTGGAATCTCTCCGTGCCTCTTTGGCTAAAGCAGCGGCAGAAATAGATACGAACGTGGCGCGTGCTGCGATTGATGATTGGCCGGGTCGATTATATTATTTTATTGCATATATAATTTTTATATAATTATCAAAAAGTGTATCATTAATTTTATAAAAAGTTTGTGACAGAACTTACGACCTGAGTAAGTAGGTAAGCGGGTGGTATCTACCCACATGGACTCTAAGACATAAAAGGAGACCTATCACCAAGTAAGTTTGATCATCAATTCACCTTCCAACTGGATTCTTCATCCATAGGTGTCCGTAAACAATTAAAACTTATCCCAGTGTTAATAATATTAATGACATATCATCAATATATCGATGACGGCAAATCCTTTTTACAATGGCTACGTTCACGTCCAGCAATGGACTGCTTACTTGGCCGTTTAATAAATAGTTAATAATTGATACTTACTGACAAGTGGTACAAATTGGACTGAACTTGCAGAATACTGAAACAAACGATATATAAATACTTTGATTAAAAAAAAGTTAACTGATATGGTCTTATATCTAACAGGGTTAGAGCAGAAAGGAGTTTTCATACTTCTCATGTTCACCCTTTTTTTTTTTAAATAAAATTTAAGTGACAAACAAAGTTTGTGATAGCGTCATTTACTTCATTCTATAGATATTTGGAAAATTCAAAAGTGCACGCCTAATTTGCTTCTTTTTTTTTTTAAACAAATATCTTTTAAACCTCTATTAGTCTGGTAACAACCAGCAATAGAGATCATCCTGAGGATAAATGGAAACTTATTCAGAAAGATTTATTAATTTCATTTCGTTGCGTATACTCGTATTTTTCTGAAACGTGAAGACAAACAAGTGCACAGAGTAACTGACAGCCGTACTAATAATTTTTAACTACATTTTTTGAAAATTTAACTAAGCAAATTAATAAAAAAATACGCTGACTTTATATTTTAATATATCTAGTTTTCAAAACATCCCTTTTTTAATGTTAGTATAGAGACATACTAACAATTTTATATTGCAAAATTGTCACAACGCGTTGTGAGGCGTGCAATAAAGTCATTTTATCGAAGGAAAATTAATTGACTCTCAAGGTGGTACGTAAACTAGACGCTAGATGGCCTAAACATGACTAAATCGGTAAATTATGTCATCGTGTATTGGTTAAGATAATTTTGTTCAATAAGGTTAATTTTATTTATTTAAGAAATTTTCCTTTTTTAACTGTTTATTACTGTTAATATACGTTAACGTGTACGTTGTTGTACGTTGTACGTGTGTTGTGTGTACGTTAATATAACTTTCAACTGTTAAACAGTTGAAAGTTATATTAACCAGCTTTAAAGAACCGCACAAAGACGAGACCGACTATTTTATTCTCTTGCAGGCTAAATCCTATAGATGTATGTTTGTCTCTTTTTAGTGTTGCTTTCTCGATTTCACTTCAAAATGGAGTCAGTATACAGTTCACCTGATGGTAAGTGGCTACTATGGCTTATTGATACCTGGAGCCAACTCCAAATAAAATTAGGCTACAGATACGTTGTCATCCTTGAGAACTATGGAGTGTAGAGTACAAGGAGGACCATCTCTATATAAGAAAAGTGTCCCTAAAAACGCGTCCAGTAAGGGTGGCGCTGCAGTAGCATAGGATAAATTTAAAAAAAAGCGCCAAAAGTAATTAGAATAAGATGGAGAAATAAACATGGACCGACCAATCCGCTTGGTTTTGTACTACGTAAATAGTTGAGACTTTGTATACTGGCATTTTACTAACTACTCTAGTCATGAAATTTTTTAAATATTTGAATTCAGCTGACTTCACTCCGTTCACAACAGCTATCTTCATATCGTAGTTTTTCAGACGCCAGCGCTATTGTGGTAGGTTTTGGAACCTCTATTTTCAGTAAATAGTAGGACACTTTTTCAACTTTCACCCCTTATAAGATGGTTCTCCTTGTACTCTACACTCCATATTGAGAACTAAGATGGAATATCATAGCCTGTATTTATTCTCGCTCTCTATGCTGTTCAGGTCGCAACACAGCAGCGCAAGCATTGCTATTTGACGGCCGATATAGTTATCCAGGTGATAGCTACACAGACGTACTGCTAGCCAGAAAAGGAGTCTTATCACCTAACTAGCTGTTTCCCGCGACTTCGCCCACGTGTAATTTAGGGTTTTTATTATATTGCTCAGAACCCTAATTCTTTTTCTCAAATATAAGTAGCCTAAGTTGCTCCTTAGAAAATCAGCTATCTGCCAGTGAAAGTCCCGTTGAAATCGGTCCAGCCGTTTCGGAGATTAGCGAGGACAAACAGACAGACAGACAGATTTTTTTAAATTGTGTCTGTTATAAGTACTGTATATACATTCATATGCATTTAGTAAAAAGCTGTTATTTTAACATTACAAACAGACACTTCAATTTTATTTATTTGTATAGATGAGAATTATCTCAGACAAACGGTCCTGGTGCGACTGATGTCGTTTTTATATTTCCAGTCAGGAAATTACCAGTGTGGTTCCCATATCCATTCATTACAGGCTATTTAAGTCCACTTCTAGAAATAGGCCTCTAATATAGATTGCTTCCTTTGCCATATTTGCCACACCTGGAAGGCGTGTTGGCAAACTGCAGTTTTTATTACTTTGAGTTATTATCTGGAAGACGTTGTTGCCCATCTCCTTTTCAGTTTCACTCTGTCGTCTCTTAGGACACCCACGAAACGATATTATAGATTAGTGGCTATTCTTACACCACCACTATACGGTTGTTCACATGTCTGAGATTCATGACCCACGTATATAATGATAAAAACACGAAAAAAACCACAATACCTTAAAACAAGTGCTAATTAATATCTATTATAACAAAAATAGCTGTGAATCGCTGTCGCTCGCTGTTATCAAATCGTTATTTATACGTGGTAGAGCCATGCTGCAGCTATATTAGTAGTGTAGTTGAAGCACGAATGGGTCGGCTAGACCGGGGAAGGACCACGCTCTCACAGAATACCAGCGTAAAATAGCAGCTTAACACTGCTGTATTTCGTATGGTGAGTGTAGAGAACCGGAGACCCTTTTTACTGGAAACGAGGCATTCCATCTTAGTCCTCACGGGTGACAACGCATCTGCATTTTGATTCGCAAACGAGGATAGATGTAGATGTCTATGGGGCACAGCAACCACTTACCATGAGGTGGAATGTGTGCTCTATCCTAAAAAAAAATCATATCACATATGCCAGACGTAAAATACCTGGACAGGTGATGGGAAGCAGTGTACTTTTAATATTTTGATATCCAGTACAATGATCACCAATGGCCTCCTAATCATGTTGATTAAGCCCTCTCGACGGTGGTAGACACTATGTCCAGTACTGAACTGTTTTACGGACTTATAAAGTAGTAAAGAAGAACATTCAATGAAAAATAATTTTCACTTGCTACAAATGGTTAAAATGACAAATATAATTAAGTACATAGTCATGCAATACGAAGAGACGAACTTACCACTCAAGCAAACAGAGCAAACATAACCAATTGTCAGCAACTCCCGATGACAGAAACAGGCTGCTCGGTAATCGACCCTACCCCTACCTGGTAACACTAATTCTTTACGTTCCGAAGCTTCAGGGAGGAAAACCCACTAAAACAAAGAAAAATTCACTTTACAAGTTTTTAAAGACTACGAGTACATTAGTTAACGTACTCGTAGTAAGTAAGTAAGATTTCCAAGAGGATTTCAGGGCAAGGAATGTCCGCCGCAATGCCCCAATGCGTGTTGATTGAATACACATGTCTCCTCTCCAAAATAATTTATTATTAATTTTGAGACGTGCAGGATTCCTCAACATGTTTTCCATCATCACCGACTGCTTGGTAAATCAGCGCTTAAAATTGCAACTAACAATTTTTTATTGGTGAATTGAACCGGGTAGTTCGCGTGCTGTGAAATTTACAGCGAACGTTTTAGCTCTCGAGCTACCATGGCTCATCAGTTTAAGTATATTATAGTATAATAGATCATTTTTATATTGCATGTGTGTACGTATATATGATATACCCATTGTATCTATATATGATTACCTTAACATATGTTGTTTGTTGCTGAAAATTCTCCCTGATTTAGTACTAATTCACACGAGAATGGAATTCTTACACACTGTATAGCAAGACCATTAAAGGGCTCTTAGTGCTCAATTCTCTGCTGCAGGCATTATTTTGTCTAGCATGAACTAAGCATGTGACATTCAGTAGACAAAAATTACTTTATTTGAAACAGTTTTACTTATAATCCAGAAATAAAGGATCTAAATAAAAATGTAGACGATTAAGAATTTTAATTCAATAACATACCTTATTTTATAATGACTTAAAAAACGAGTTTTTTATCTCGATTAGTTTATAGTATTTTAAAAATCTATTTGATTAAGTATTGAATTGCGTATTTCATTTATGTACATATTTTTTTCGTGCATATAACACGAAACACCACTTTTCGCGCTTAAATCGTGACTAAAATATGGTATTTTGTCCCCTACAGCCTTAAGTGCTGAATTATATTCATCAATGATCTCGGCGTTGAATGAAAACATCATAAAAGTCAAAAAATCTTCAAAAAAACATCTTAAAGTATGTCTAAGTAATTTAAATATTTTTTAACTTTTAAATAGAAATTTTTATTTTTTTTAGTTTTATATGTAGGGTTATAATGAAGTTATGTTGATGGTAAGGTTCTTACCAATAGATATTGCAGTAAGCCTTCAAGCGAGGGCACTTTGAGGTAGAGGCCTCCGGTGATGTCACATCCCTGTTGCAATAAACTAAGATGCTTGTCCAATGAACAGACGTCAATCAGTACCTGTTGTTTCTGAAAACAATGATAAAAATTAGCTGCAATACTGTACGCCACATCATTTGAGCTTAGCTCAAATGATGTGGCGTACAGTATTGCAGCTAGTGTAGCTAGCACTCATTTGAGTTTTCTTTATTATCACTATTATTCATATTATATATATTTTAACTATTTTATTGTTTAAATATGATTGAAACAAATTGAATAAATTTTATTAGGTTGGTTGCCAACGACTGAGATGGAATGCCTCTTTTCCAGTAAAAAGGGTCTGCGGTTCTCTGCACTTACCATACACAACACAGCAGTGGTAAGCTGCTATTTTACGTTGGTATTCTGTGAAAGCGTAGTCCTTCCCCGATCGAGTTGACCCATTTGTGCTACAACTATACTACTAATATAGCTGCAGCATGGCTCTACCACGTATAGAAAATAAGAATTCCCTTTGAGGCAGTCTACAGAAGGTATATGTTCAGTAGTGGACTCTAATAAGGCTGCAATGATGACAATGATGATGATAATGATAAAAAATTGCATATCAATCTTCAAAACTTAATATAGGAAGCCTGTAGTTCTTGCAATCTATGACTTCCACTTTCTTACCTGAGCAGTAAAGAATACATTCATATAATTTATATATTGGGCAGCTGTGTCCGTACTGCCTGTAACTATGAGGATCCGGCTGCTCATGCGGAGCCCTGGTGTGGCTTCACGACGCATCTGTAAGTAAAAATGACATATTTTTTATTTTTATAAAAGGTATATAAATAAAATGAGTAATCTCTATTAGAACATGAACACAGTCTTAACACGAACCGTTATGACATACTCTATTTTTATTTTTGTTTATAATATCATCTAGTCCAGTTCAATCTCTTCAGTTTCAGAGCAGCCTTTATCATATCTCCTCAATTTTAGGGCACTCTCCTTGTTGCCTCAGCCAGTATTGGAATCCTCGGCGTCAGCTTATCGAATGACGTGCAGCTTCGTGGTCACTTGGAACAGAAAGCCAAATTGGCCTCTAAAATGTGCTCAGCAGAGCGGGACAGTATTTCACGCTAGCACACCGCCTGCAACTTTACAAGGCTTGGCCTCACATAGAATTCTGTTCCCATCTTCTTCCATTTAATCGCATCCAGCGCAGAGTGGTTCGAATCGTCGGAGACCAAGCTCCTTCTGCTTGGCTTGACTCACCGGCACTGCGACGAGATGTTGCATCTCTTTGCGTATTTTATCGCATCTACCACGGGGTGTGCTCTGAGGAATTGTTTGGACTAATTCCAGCCGCTTGATTTCACCATCGCGATAAACTCGCGATACCAACCATATCATCTGGATGATTGGCGGTCCACCACTGAGTGATTTACAAGACGTTTTCTTCTTCGCACATCTTCCTTGTGGAATTGACTATCACTAGCGATTTTTCCAGACAGATATGTCTTAGGGACCTTACAAAAGGCCCACAACATACCTGTGATTTGCCTGGTGTTGCAGTTGTTCATAGGGGGCGGTCGACACTTACCATCAGGTGAGCCACATGCTCGTTTGCCCACTCTTCTATAAAAAAAATATTATTCCATGATGTCTCGGTTTTTTATTTTTAAATTTAATATTAAATTCAGTTAAAAATAAGTTTATCATCCTATCATAGATTTTAAAAATTAAATACATATATAATAGTACATTTTTGTAATGTTAACAATTTTATATGCTATATTTTAATAATTGTTGCTCAACTCAACTGTAGTGTAAAAAAAATAAACTTGAGTCAATTATAAAAGGGTTAAATAGTTTCATAGGTTTATTTATCCTGTTGTATGTTTACCTGTAATCAGGCTGAATGAATACACACACATTGAACTAGATACATTACAAAACATGCACTGGTTATATTTTTATACTTACTCTAGCAATGAAGCAGAGGGCCATGGCCAATGCTCCGGCTAGGAGAGATTCCCCAGGTTTCTCTTCTAGTGGTTGACTTTTGATCAAGTTCACCAACCTGTTGATATAAAATAATTTCGAACATAGTAACATGAGCATGACAAACATTGAGAATATATAGATCTTGCTTGCTTAGTAGTATTTGAACTAAGAATCGGGTTGAAATTTAGAATCATTTGGCAGGAGGAGGGGTCAGGGGATGAGGGGAGGGGAAGGGGGGGGAGCCTCCCCTTACTCTCGACACCACTCCCATTAAAAGGTAACACACTGTTCATGAGAAAAATCAAAAAGAAAATCCCATAGACCTAACCTGAAAGTAACATTTATCGTCTCCGGCAGGTGGGGGGAAGAGGGTAGCAGGAGTGTGCCATATCAGGGAAAGCCCCTCTACCTTTCCCTTGTTGCGGAAAAGTATAGTTTATGAGTAATGTTTTTTTTTGTAAAATCATAACCTCTTTTTTTACACAGGAATAAAGTTAGTTCTACAACGGCTTCGACGCTGCGGGAAGTGCAGCCCCTTCGCCCTTGTGTAGCGAATCACAGGCACCCATGCCTGCGATTTGCTACGGCGGGCGGGGGCTGGTCTCCCTCCGCGCCTACAGCTTTACAAAAACACTCTAGGAGTAGGGCAGACAGACCAAGTGGAGTCGGGGCGTGCTGGTTTAATTTTAGTACAGATTCGATCAGATCAGATATCTCATCTATAAAATTAGGTTGCCTTCACTCCCGCCACTACCTTCTATATTACAGCTGAAATTATTTCTGGGTGTTCAAGTATTTCTGGGCAGTTTTAAACAATTAAGAAATAAAACAGTATATTGTAATCATTTCTTTATTGTCTGTAAACATATTTTTTTTTGTTAATTCTTCAAATGGATCTCTTTTATTCCTTATAATTTCTCTTCTCTATAAATATTCATATATCAAGTTGGTAAAATTTTCTCTATTATTAGAGTTGTCTTTAGCGAAATATCTCTTGACAGAGAGTATAGATAGTAGACTAATATGACACTATTCTTACGTCCTTGTCGCACTTACACAAAATTCTGTATGCTATCCAGCTTTCACAGTAATTTTTCCATGATTTATCCATTTTAGGTTGTAATAGTTTTTATTTATTTTTCAATAACGGTGCATTGCCTTTTAATGTGAGTGGTATTATTATAATTGGGGACCAAATCTCTACCAAATAAAACACCTTACTCCATCAAATTTGTGCCAAACGATTCTAAATCCAACCCAAGAATCGAGTTAACTGGTGTAGAAATCTTGTTTACGCCAGATCACAATCAATGATAGAGAATCAAAATAAGTGCAAAATATTTTGCTAGTGTGATCATCAGTCTGCCAGACAAAGTGACTAACTAATAAGGCAAAACCGCCCTGACCTATAACTGATGAATTTTACAGGCTGAAGAACAAGACATAAAAGAAGCTGATTGACATGTTTTTGAAAAAACGAAGGCTTAGAATATTATATAAAATAGATATATTGTATTAGTCAGTTTATTATTATGGTAATACTATCGTGAACATTATGATATAGCAATTATATGCATATGGTAATATTTTTTTATTTGTATTTTTATGTGAAATTTTTTATTGCAATCGCTCATCACTGATGATCAGGTTGGGTAAGTATAAAAAAATCCTTTGTTATTAATAAAAATAAAAATTGCACTTATGTACTTGCATGCTAGATTAGTAATATAGTTTATTATGGAGCTGATGGTGATTAAAGATTAACAATGTTTCAGTCAATCAAATTGCCAGAATATGATGTGCTACGATGTGGGGCCCATGACGAAGATGCAAGTTTTTTCAGTTTCTAGAATCATATACCTTACTTGTCAAATTTCAATTAGCTACCACATAAATTTCTGGTAATTATAATATTGCACAATAAACCGTATGTAGAAAGTATGAGGTGTTTTAAATATACTTCTATTAAGTCAGCTTAAACAAACACCTTGTCTTTTTTATTGAATACTAAAAAAAATATGTAAATAAACATGCCTACCTCATTTTAATAGTTTTCTCAACTAATGTAAACAGCTCATACTGGCCGTCTATCTGTCTCACATCCAAAGGTTTTCCTGGAGATGGGTAAAGATATTCACTGAAATGGAAAATAACATTATTCAGTTAATTTGAATTGAAATTTTGATCATTTTTTTATAGAATAAGAGTGAAAACAAGTACACAGTCCACCTGATGGTAAGTGGTTACTGTGGCCCATAGATATCTACATCTATCCTCGTTTGCAAATCAAAACGCAGATGCAATGTCAGCCGTGAGGACTAAAATGGAATGCCTCTTTTCCAGTAAAAAGGGTATCCAGTCCTCTACACTCACTATATGAAACACAGCAGTGTTAAGCTGCTATTCTGTGAAAGCGTGGTCCTTCCCCGGGCTAGCCTACCCATTCATGCTACAATTATACTATTAATATAGCTGCAGCGTGGCTCTACCATGTATAAAAAATATTGTATACTTAAATTAAAAAAATCATATACCCAAATGGATTATTTACTAAAATAATTTAATAAGCAATTGAGAAGATGTAAAATTATACTATATTTTTGTAAAGAAATCTATAAATCAATATCATAATATAGTAGTAAGTATCAAATATTTGAAAATGATGTTCTAAAAGAGGTTTTCAGTTCATATTGTGTTTTCATTATGAGGAGTAATTCAGGGGTTATATTTTCTTTTAGCATTTGCTGAAAAACATTAAACTTAAACTTACACCTGAGAGAAATTAAAGAGATTTCAAGGACAAGTGAAAGAAATTAAAAGTTCAGGAATATAAAATTTAAATAGGTATTAAAAGAAATTAATAATACAAGCAATTTAGTATAAAAAATTAATTGATTATATGTAGTTGTAGATATATGAAATTATGTCCTCCAGACCAAATTTTGGTCAAGGCAGCGACTATCAACATAGACTAGCAATATACATAGGACAGGATAACAGAATATTAGTGGCACACCCTATTTCATCAGTCCCGTGGGACGGATGGCGGCTTAGCTTTCCATTGACGTCAGTGGAGTTTGGTGTTGATACGTATTTTTACAGAAAGATTACACTATTATAAGCACACACACAAAGTCTCAATATACGGAAACGCGTAATTTTTGAGAAAAGAATAATTGAAAATCAACTATTCTTGCAATGTTTATGTCTAATCTGCTAATAAACTGGCGCCATTTTGTAATGTCTTTGTCGACGTCAATAGGGATGTCGATTCTTTCCGAAAAAGGTTGATTTTTAAATCGATTCAAATCGTAAGCTGATGTATCGGTTCACAAAAAATCGATTTCTAAAATATCTATATTTTTTTAATGTTTCTATTTATAATGTAAATATAAACCCATTTTATGAAAAACAAGAAAGATACCATGATAAATGATCTCTTATTGAAATTTGTTTTATTTAACAGTACCTATTAGGGCAGATAACAAATAAAATAGGTTAGGTTCAACTTATGTCAAAGAACCGAATTGATTGACCCCGACTCCACCTGATACGTGTCTGTCCTACCCCTAGAGTGGTTTTATAGAGCCGGAGGCGCGTAGGGGGAGCAGCCTCCGCCTGCTGTAACAAATCGCAGGCATCGGACGAGCCGGAGCGGCTGAGGCGAGGAGGGATGCCTGCGATTTGTTACGCTAAGGCGTAGAGGTTGCTCTTCCCGCAGCGCCGGAGACGTAGCAGTCTCAAAATAGATACAGAAATCCTTATGAATCAGTCCCCTTATTTTTTTATGATGAAGGGGATTTTTTTCTCATAAAATGGATTTATATTTACATTATAAATGCAAACATGAAAAAAATATCGATATTTTAGAAATTGATTTTTTGGGAATCGATACATTAGCTTACAATTCGAATCTATTTAAAAAATCGATCTTTTTCGAAAAGAATCGACATCCCTATTGACGTCGACAATGACATTACAAAATGGCGCCAGTTTATTAGCAGATTAGACATAAACATTGCAAGAATAATTGATTTTCAATTATTCTTTTCTCAAAAATTATGCGTTTCCGTATATTGAGACTTTGTGTGTGTGCTTATAATAGTGTAATCTTTCTGTAAAAATACGTATCAACACCAAACTCCACTGAAGTCAATGGAAAGTCGTACCCGGATAGCTTAATCAGAGACAGAGTGAGATCAGACGCAGGACCAAAAGCTTCATGAAAAATGGGGGATGAAACACTGCTGCGGTTAAACTATAGACATCCGGTACTCTCGTACAGGGGCGGGAGGGGGAGGGGGAGGAGGAGGGATCAGGGGAAGCCTCCCCTACCCTTCCCCCGTTGCGGAAATGTATAGTTTATGAGTAATAATTTTTTTTGTAAAATCATAACCTCACTTTTTTACACAGGAATATTGACACAAAGTTACTTCTGCAACGGCTTCGGCGCTGTGGGAAGTGCAGCCCCTTCGCCCTTGCGTAGCAAATCACAGGCACCCATGCTCACCTCCGCAGCTTCGGCTTATTGGTCGCCTTCGGCGACCAGCCTCAGCCGCTACGGCTCACACAGGGGCCTGCGATTTGCTACAGCGGGCGGGAGCTGCTCTCCCTCCGCGCCTACGGCTTACAAAAACACTCTAGGGGTAGGGCAGACAACACTACGTGGAGTCGGGGTGTTCTGATTAAGTTTTTTTTTTATCTACGTGGTAGAGCCATGCTGTAGCTATATTATGGTTGTAGCATGAATGGGTCGCCTCGAACGGGGAAGGACCACGCCCTCAAAGAAAACCAGCGTAAAATAGCAGCTTAACGCTGCTGTGTTTCGTATGGTGAGTGTAGAGAACCGGAGACTTACCATCAGGTGGACTGTGTGCTCGTTTGTCACCAGATCCTATAAAAAAAAAGTTTTAGTACAAATTCGAACTATCTTATCTATAAAGTTAGGTTTCCCTAAACTCTGCTATGACAGTGGTAAATGAAACAATATGATTTTAAACCAAATAAGTTCAAAAACTGAGCAGAAGTCGTTGAAAAAACAGGGAAAACACAGCACTAAGCACAAGAGAGAACATTCGTGTGACCACTAGAGAAACGGAATGACAATTGACATTTGACATCATAAATAATATATTATAGTTGGCAATTACGGTTGCGCAAATTATGGCCGTCAACACCGTCCCGTTTCACACTTTTTTACATCGATTATTGACATCTAATCTCATAACACTATACAAAATGTCATATTTGCGTTTCGTTATACGGAGTTTTTGGTGAAATTTATTTTTATCGTAATTAATTCAAAACTCATTTCCGACATTCAAAAACAGTGTAAGAGGTTCATGCTTAGCCCAGACAAGCCTCTTAAACTGAAAACATAATTAAAATCAAGTACCGGATATCTATAGCCAACCCCACTGCTGCTACTGAGAACCCAATAACTGTTTTTGGCATAACTCGGGATTCGAACCCCCAAGGTATTATCAGAAATCGCTCTTTCGACCACGACTAGATAAATCGTAGTTTACTCTAATTTTATATAATACAAAAAACCTTAACCTTTTATGGAAATGGCACCCAATAACGGCGAGTAAATTCCTGGACTTCTGCATTAAGTGAGAGTTTGCAAATGCGATGACAGCATCTAGGCATCCAGTTAGAACTTTTGGATCTTCTGTTATATACCTCTGATTTGGATTAGTGTCAACTATTATAACAAGAAGACTGCTGTCTGAAGGACCTAAATAATAATATAATATATTAATATAATAAAAAAAACAACCGTAAAACAAATATAAACATTATTTCGTAAGAATGGATACCATCATCGTCCGCCAATTTGTCAGTCATTTTATTTGTTTAAACCTTGCAATGGTATGCTAATATATTACTAGATTTTTGAATGGTTTAGTTATAACTTCAATATTATTCTTTTTTAGGTTCTACAAATAACCATGAAATCCATTTCATAACCTAACATCTACCGCTTTGTTTTGACTTTTTTGACACTCCGGCATTTGTTTTGCTTGTTGTTGTTTTTATTATTCGTTCGAGAGAGCAGGCAAAGGAACTAAGCCATACAGCCTTGTCTTTTCTATTTTGAATATATAGAATTTTAAGGTGTAAAGGCCGGAACCTTATTCTCTCCTATTCTCGCCAATATCTGCACCTCTCCAAGACCCTTCTATCCTCCCCAACCAACATTTATCCCTCTACACTCCTCTCATTTCCTTTTCAATTTTCAAAATCTCATCTCCTATCCAACCTTCTACTATTTCTGTTTTCATATCGTATGCTCTCCAATACTCCCATATCCTCTCCCAATCATATCCGATTCTCACTGTTCCTCTTCCATACTCCCGACTTATCTCTAACCCTCTCCTATTATCTCCAAGCATCATGAAGTATTACTATACTTCTCCAATCCTCTCCAAGTACCTCTAACCCTCTCCACTTCTCTTAAAGTCTCTCCTATCCACCCCAAGTTACTCCTTTCCTTTACACTTCTGTCATCTCTTCTCCTAACATCTTTATAATTCTCCAACTTTCTGCTATGTTATCTCGTCTTCTCCTATACTCTCCAAACCTCTTACATCCTCTCCAGTCCTCTCATATATTCTCCTACCTCTCCGATCATTTCCGATACTCTTCATTTCTCTCCCACCCGCTACAATAACATCTGATCTTCTCCGATCCTCTCCTAGTCTATCTACTCCTTTGTACTCGTACCCAATTATCTCCAAGCATCTCAAAGTATCTCAATATTACTCAAATCCTCTCCTATCCTCTGCAAGTATCTCAATCCTCTGCCATTCTTTCCAAGCTTCTTCTATCCTCTCCAATTAACTCTATTTCTGTACACTCCTGTCCTCTTCTCTCGAAGGATCTCCATTCCTTTCCTTTCCTCTCTAAAAATCTCATTACTACCTCTATCTTCTCCTGTCATATCTTATCGTATTCTCTGCAAGCAATTCTACTCTTCTCACTCCTCTTATATCCTCTATAAGCATCTCCATTCCTCTCCGACTCTCCCCTATTCTCTCAAACCATCTCAACTTCTATTCTATGCTTTCCCATCCTCTCCACGCCTCTCCGATCCCCTCCAAACATCTCAAGTCCTCTATGCTCTCTCTTTGGAAGGAGATTCCTCTCTAATTCTCTCCTATCATCTCCAAGCATATCTACTTCTGTCCGAACGCCACCTATCTTCTCTTATCCCACCTCATATTCTCCATCACTCACCACTCCTCTTATATCTTGTTCATTCCTTTTATTCCGTCTCATATTATCTCCTCTCTTTTCCTATTCTATCCTTTCCTAACTTATCTTATTATATTTTATCCGCTCGTACCCTCTCCAATCATCTACATACCTCTCTCATCCTCTCTTAAGATATTCTATTCTTTCCAATCCTCTTCTATTTTTTCCTATCCTCCCCAATCCTCAAGAAGCACCTCCACTTCTCTCCAAAACTCTCAAATCCTATCCTATCCTCGCTAAGTAAACAGTAGAGTAAAGGATTGGAGAGGAGTTAAGCGGTTAAGAAACGAATGGATATGCTTGGTGAGGATTGGAGATGATTGGAGATGATCGGAGGGATTAGGAGATGATAGAATATACAGAGATAACAGATAGGAGAGATGGAGTGGAGATGCTTGCATAGAATACGAGAGTATAGGAGAGGTTTGGAGAGCATAGAAAAGAAGTGGTAAGTAATGGAGTAGAGTCGAGGTTGGAACAGGATGAAAGTGGATAGGAGAGGTTGGATGACAATAAGAGTGGATAGAAAAAACATCAATAGGGTATTACACCCATTTTCAATTAGTGTTTTAAATGAATCCTAAAGTGATAAAGAACCATTGTAATTTATAATTTATATATATATATTTAAGATCCAATAGTGCCATAAAAAATATTTTTAGTTTATCTTTTTAAATTATTGCCGATGTTGCAAAGGAATAAGATATTTTTGGATGTTTAATGATAAGTTATCATTTTTATCATTGGTGTGTTGTGCCTGAATGCAAAAATACGAGCACAAGAATGCAGTGGAAGTTATGGTTTCAAGTGCCAACTGATTTAAATAGGAGAAATACTTGGATAAAACTGGCAAAAAAATACCCGAACACATTGTCTACAAAAACCAGATTATACTTCTGGGAAGATCATTTTAATGTAAGTATGATTTATATTTAACAGACTAAAAGTTAACAATTGTGACGATAATTCGAAAAATTTCGAAATAATACACAGCACATTAGTTTACTTAACCAGTGACTTCATGATGGAATCTAATATGACGGATAGCGTTTTAGAATTTTGAGGCACAGATAAAAAATATTCTTAAAATTGAATTATAAAATTTATAATACATTTTTGTGAATAGAACCTCGTTTACTTTTTACAAAAACTATCATAAAAATATATATTTTCGATTTTTTTACATGGTCTAAAATATCCTATTCAATTAACAACACTAGCCACTGACGGATCGGAGTGGAGCCAATTAATAAAATATTAGATAGAAATTCTTTCAATTACAATAGGTTTAAAACTATAATTGCTGTGTAACGCGCGGAATTCCCCAAGGCAGTGTTCTGGGCCCTACCCTCTTTTTGTGTTATATTAATAACCTCTGTCAAATTAATATTCCTAATTGTAAGGTTATGTGCTATGCTGATGACACCACACTTACCTTTTACGGTCAATCTTGGGAAGAAGTTTATTCTGATGCACAAACTGGTCTCAATACAGTCCAACAATGGCTTGCTACACATTACCTATCTTTAAATGCAACCAAAACTAAATACATTCCTTTTTGTATTACCACACCAGCACTAAAAGGCCAAGAGAACTTAAACTTATACGTCCATGATTGCTGCATACCACCGCTTTGTTCCTGTACGTGTCGCTCTCTTGAAAAGACCACGAACACAAAATACTTAGGTGTTATAATAGACTACAAACTTTCTTTCGAAGAACATATAAACCACATTTCTTCCAGAGTTCGTAAACTTACATACATTTTTAAGCAACTTCTTCATCTTGCAGATACCAGTATTATAAAATTTGTTTATACTGCTTTATGTCAGTCTATTATTAACTATAGCATAACGTCTTGGGGTGGTGCAGCAAAAAGCCACATGAGTAGGTTAGAGCGTGCACAAAGACTTATACTTAAAATATCTTATAAAAAACACAGATTATTTTCAACAAATGAACTTTACAAGTACTGTGAATCGCTCACGGTACGTCAGCTCTATATTCTTGGGACAATATTATTAAATCATTCAAAAACGGAATATAATAAATCCAATCCTGTATTAAACAAAAGACTTCCTCATATGGTATGCTCAATACCTGTTACCAATTCATTATTTGCTCGAAGATTTTTCAATTACAGAGGTCCATTCCTATATAATCTTGCTAACAAATTATTAAATATATATCCGTTAACTAAAAGACAGACAAAAATTTCCTTAATCAATTGGCTTAAATCATTAGACTACGAACAGACAGAAAAACTATTTGAACGTATTATTTAAATATATATTACACACCACATGCATACACACACACACACACACACACACACACACACACACACACACACGCACATGCACACACACACACACACACACACGCACACGCGCACACACACACATACACACACACACACACAGGCAGAGACAGACACACGTGCGTGCACACACTCACACCACATTATTAACACTTATTACACCTGCTTACCCTTACTAGTACTTAAAGCATGTTTTTCTTCTTTGTATATATACCTAGCAAGTAATTTTTACACAGTTTCTCCAAACTGAACAAGTATATTTTAATGTAATATTATTACACGTAGCTGTATTGATTATAAATGTTTTACAGCATTATAACTTCTGTTGAGGGAGGGGCCTGGTGATCCCATAGCACAGGGCAACCTAGTTTGGGCACCAGTCTCCCACCTAGATCTTATTTAGTTAATTTTTATAGCTGTTATTTAGTTGTATAGTTCATTGTTACTAAGTTTTTTGTGATGTACTGATTGTAATATGTGGGAGAAAATAAATACCAGTTATTATTATTATTATTATTATTATAATTAAGTCCACAAATTACTAAACTTTGACCATAAAAACATTCCGAGAGGATTAAAGAGCGTTGAAGAGGAGTAGGGAGGAGTGGAGATGCTTAGAAAAGTTACGAGATGATAGGAGAGCGTTTGAGAGGTTTGGAGAGAAGTGAAGATGCTTAGAGAGGATAGGAGAGTATAGGAGAGGTTGGAGAGCAAAAGAGAGGAGTGCGGAGTAGTGGGAAAGACTTGAGAAGAGTGTAAAGGGATGGAGACGCTTGAAGAAGATTGGAGAGGAGTGGAGAGGATAGGAGAGGGTTGAAGAGGAGTGGTTATATTTAGAGAGGATTGGTGAGGATAAGAGACGAGTAGAGAAGCTTGTAGGGGATAGCAGAGACACATACATACACACACCTTCCTTGATATATTTCTTCCTTCTGGTGCAGTCGGATAAAATGAACATACATCAGCAAAGGCTTGACTTTACCCATATAGTTGTTTTAAAGAAAACAACTATATGGGGAAATTCGCAATCCAAGACTGGCAACACCAAAAAACGACGCGTTGATTTTGTGAAAAAAAAAATCAATTTATTTGTTTTGTTTTCGTAAATTATTACTATTAGTTTTGAGTTACTTACCGATGTTAGAAGATTTTATTAGTTGTTTGTAAACGTCCTTTATAATTTCTGCAGATTTTCATCGCGCAACTTGTCATTTTTACCAAAATAATCTAACGCAAAAATGAGCCGTGCGTGCGTGTCTCTTAGCGTTAC